TTTACTTAAGCCCCTTGACCCAATCGCAGCTGCAGTTTGCCCAACTTCGATTTCACATTATCAATAGTAGGTCAAGTTTGAGTTTTAATTTCCTTTTCATTGTACTAGTTTATTTGAATTGTAAAATAGCATTGATATTGGTAAACATTTAGCATGATTCATCGTCATTTAAACGTCTGCTCCTATCACTTAGGTTTTTGTTCCGCAAGCTATTATAGAGGGTATTAGTCTTTCAAAGAATCTTTCAAGATTTTAGGTGTTCGCCCCCTATACCAGCAATTGTAATTTCCTATTTTCATCAATTGTAATTTCTAGATTTCAAGCAATCAATGATCAATTTACTTTCAATGCATTTCAATTTCATGTTGCAATCTTTCTACAAATTGTAATCAAATTGTCTTTCGTCTCGAAACGATCGAGAGAAGGCGGAAGGTAGTCTAGCGGAGCAGATTAAGATAGTCTAGCGGAGCAGATTACTGTTGCACAATGTCCCTTTCTGTGCCAGAAGAAAGGCACCTCGTGAAACTTAGTCAAGTAGCTCCATCTTCTTCAATTTGATTGCTGTCATTAATATTTAGGTAGAGAAACTCCCGGAAAACATTCTTTTCCAGTGGTCTTTTTAAATGTGGTGGAAACATGGTAAATGTACCTGCATACTGAACACTCTATTAGAAAGCAAAGGCCGCCGATCGAGAAAAAAAAAGTTTGATGACCACTTGCACTCTGACGATCAAATTGATGGTTTGGATGAAAGAAAAATAAGTGCAAGAGACGGGAAAAGGAATTTGGCTAGGGTTAGGAAAATACCTTATGAGAAATAAATTCACATATATATAGAGAAATGGATGTGCCAAGTGGAGACAAAGTTACTTAATTAAATATGCTCAATTCAACTAAAGAATAGATACCGAGTAGGCCAATGTAGGACCCCCTTCGTCATGCTCATGCCGCGTAATTTATAGGTGTAACACTTTATATAACCGGTCTATATGGTTCATCAGCTTCTCGAAGTAGTTTAAAGAAATTTGAAGGTCTTGGATTCTGGTGATGTTCTTTTGGAAAAGAATGTTGTTGATTCAAAAATGTACTGTAAATATGTGGTCTCATTGCATCCATCACGATTGTTTGGTTTGTACGTTTAGTTTGAATTAAATAGACTAGTGTACTCTTCACCATTTACAGACCATTGATTATAATTATGGGTAATTTGTTTGATGTATAAGTATGTGAAGTTTTATACCATCTTGCATGTGGAACTGCTTATCGCATATTTACAGCAAGAGCATCTAATTTTATCAAATACTCCTCACTATGAATATGCAAATTCAATAAACTTTTCAACTCCTCTAAGAAATTCTTTTGTAAGAAACCCCTATCCACTCGTCATCAAATCCAACTAGATGACAAACTGTGAACAACTAAACCTAAAAAAGTTAGGCATGACATTGGAAGAACACCATAGTGATAACTCGATTCCTGAAAAAAGAAATCAACTTAAAGTAAAATAAGAAAATCTCTCAGTCACACTATACCAACCTTGCTGCACCTAAAGCCCAAGAATTAATGAGGAAGAAATATGTTACAAACCCAAAAATAGAAAACAATCTGTCTCCCAGTATTCTTAAAAGACAAAAAGAGATAAAACTAGATATCTCACCTAGTATTTTAAAGCAGGCTCCTGATATTTTTTTCGAATTTTATGAAGTAACATTATTTATAAATAGACTTGACACATAAACATGTTACAGCAAACTGCAAGATATAATTATACTGTTAAAATTAGGCATACGAGATATGAAGTTCTCTCATCATGACATACAACTATGGGAAGACTTTCCAAAATCATATGGGGGAAGTGTTCACGAAAATATGTTTCGAATCTAAATCACCGCAAGTGCACGATTCGTTAACAAGTGATAAAGTGAAAATTCAAGAATTTCGAGTATCGTTCCCACGAGGATTGATTTAACTTGATTTCTATTATCGTGACCTTAACCGAATCTATTAAACTCAATATGATTGTTTTTCTGATTTTATGATGAAATTATGACTAATATGTGAATTAAACTAAAATTGCGATCTAAAGGCAAAAATAATGGTTGAATGCAAAAGTTGATGAAGTTAATGTATGAAAAGCGTACTAGGATCCCGAATCTCAAAGCAAAGTTCACCCTTAACCCTTATTTCACAATTTGACAACACGAGGAATTGGTTGAAGAATCAATGTTTCTAACCTATCCAACAATCTCTTTCGAGTAGAATTGAACCTATTCTAGCATACCATTTGACTATATTTCTATGACAAATGCAATATACAAGAATGCATGAAGTTTTGTAAACACTTAGAGATTCAAGTAATGCATATTGGTATATTTCTATCCTTTATGAACAAAACGATGATTTATACCTTGTTAAGTTTATTTTTCTTCTTTCGAATGCATAAAATAAACTACCCAAACTCACATAATTATCGTGCACTATAATCATGGAGGCAAGAAAGTGTATATAAATCATTCAACATTCATCAAACGTGTCTGAATATCAAATTGCAAAATAAAAATCAAAAGATCACAATGCGAGGTTCATCGTTCACCTAGTACATGAAAAGTCTAGCCAAACATGGGTAAAATAAAAGAACAATACAAATAATAGAGAGAAGACATCACCCAAAAACTAAGAATTATTGTTGAAATTTTGAATCTTGAATGAAATCCCTTGTTCTTGCCCTCTTCTTTGTTCTTCAATGTTGTTTTTCTCTCTAAGAATGCGTAGCCCCTCTATTCTGGACGAGATTAGGGTCATAAAGAAGTTCTGGATGTATTACCATAAGTGTTTGATTCAAATAAGGAGACCAGAATTTTCGCGCTCGGAATGAACCACGCGACTGCATGGTATAAACTCGTGCGACAGTATGGTTATACAAAATTTTTACTTACTTTTGTCCCCAAATTGGTTTCATTCACCTCTGGCTTTAATTTCTTCTCATTCTTCTTTTAACATCCCATGATATCATCACATCTTACTTAGCTCAACCTCATGTTTGATTCGTCATTCGGGTCATCTTTTGAGAAATTGCATTTTTGTCCTCGGAGTTTCATATTCTTCCATTTTGGCCATTTTTCGTTCATTTTCTCATACTTCTCATTCCATCCATCAATGTAATCTTACAAACACCAATTATATCGAATTAAGTCATATTTCAACATATATATCAACATTTTTTCATGTTTTGTGACCTAAATAAGGAAGTTTATGGATTTTCTGAAATCGTAAAGCTAAAGTCGATGAACTAGTCAAACAGAAAAGTAAAAAATCAATATTTGAAAGTTAATGGAATTTATCATAAGATTTGTGCGCAAAAAATTTATAGATGATTCTGTCAAACATTTCTCAGCCTCATTTCTACGGATCAACACCTGAGGGATGGCAGATCAGAGAATAAAGTCTCTAGTGTTTAGCTGAGATATGACTATCAATAAAAGTAGACAATATTGGTAAACAACGGATTGCACCAGGGAAATATTCATTGATGTTCAAACTAAGACATTAAGTATTTGTTTGGGAGACATTTTTTCCCTCATTTTTAGAAGAAAAGTGACCGTCGCAAATTCATTAACGCCATTATATCCAACACAAATTTGACTGCCAACAGTACAATTTAAGGCTTTTCATTTTACCGTTCTGCACTTGCCTTTTGAATATTCAAACCGGGTGGCAGGCTGTGAAACTCAAAAAAAATGCACAAATAACAAAATAAAGGTAAAAAAGAGAATGTCATGAATATCAGACATTATTACCTAGTGCGTCATATATGGTGGCCTACTTGATATGATATAAAAATGCATTTTGCGGTCAAAAATGGCTCCCAAACAAGATCAACATGTTCAATACAAGAGAAATTTCAAATAAAAATTATTTTGCTAGGATAATAGCCATTATCACTAATTATCATCTTCAAGCCAACCTCAATGACAGATTTCATGTTGGCAAAGATGGGCTGCGTTTTCTAAATGGCCACATCAAAATTACCATTCATTACATAAGTCTAATTTATTTTTTATTTACCACAATGGCCTTTTCAAAATGTAAAACACGATACCCTTAAAATGACCTAGATGCCTCTCTATGCCCAAGTGTCTAGGACGTCACGCGGCGGACCTCGCCACCCCAAAAAATCACCAAAATCACCCGTAACCTCGATTCTAACAATATATCTACCTCAAGCCATGCATTAAAAGCATAAATGCATAGATTTTATCAAGATTGAATGTAAAAATCAAATAATATTTACCCATTCATAAAATCATAAAATTAAAAAAAAAAAAAAAAAAAAACTAACATTGATTAAATGTGTAGAAGATGATGATGGTGAGAAGTGTTGAAGTCGATATTCTGAAATTTCTTCACTCTTTTTTCTTCCTTTGAAATGAAAGGTATTTGGGAGATTCTATCAGTTTTTAACATAAAATTTGGCCAAAGGATATTGTGGAAATTGGGCTCGGTCAATTGGCCACCATTTCCTCGGCAGGGATGCTATCATCAAAAGATTGTGTAGATTATGCCTATTAAGATGCTATCATCAAAGATTTTTCGACGTAAGTTCTCCTTACAAATAAATGGGAATAAAACCTTGTATTAGTACTTTTGTAATTCTTTTGTAAGTGAATGATTAAAATTTTTTTAATTATTAAAGTGATTTATATCACCTACGGAAAGTCCATAGGTGTAAATGATGCAGATGACAACATTCATAATATATTTGTTGGTCAAGAGCTATCACCCTTTTCAATGGGAAAACCATTTCTGATTATCGTAGGAGAAATGCTATTACTTTTACCGAAGGATAATCCGTTTCTTGTTACGAATGACCGTTGGTAAATATGTGAGAAGCTGGTTTCTTGTATTGCCCCTTGGGAAGCATATGTGGAGGCAAATCAAGAATTTTAAACTACCCTCCATCACACACGTATATATGTGTGTAATTGTATCTATATGTTTACTTATGTTGTGGTCTCTTCCTTTGATCCTCCATTGGCTTTCTCAGCATCAATTATTGCTGCACAAATTGCTTTCTTCCTTTCTTCCTCTTTTGTCTTTCCCCATAGCACAAAATAAAGTCCTCCAACCAGAAAAAGTGCTCCCAAGACACTAGAAAAGCAAACAAAAAATATAATTATGCCCCAGTTTGGTAGAAATTAAAATCTCGATTTTAATCTAAATCAAAATTAACAACTTATTTTAACCATATATTTTATGGAATTCACAATTTTTCAACCAAACATTTATTCAACTTTTATCAAAATTTACTAAACAACTGATTCTAATCCCTATCAAATAGGGGCTATGTATATGCATTATGTAAGTACAAGACACACAAACGTAAGGGCAACAATAAAAGAAATTAACAATGGCTCCATACGGACCGAAGAAGGTTATAGTCATACAACATATATCACCTTGCTTAAATTTTTAGGTGGTTTTTAAAGAAATTCTGCTAAAAAACAGCTTTTAAGTATGGTCAAACATCTCTTTTGGGTTTTCAGTGATTAGAGGTTGTGTGTGCACGTGTTTCTATACATAGAAGTTTTTAAATTACTTACCCACAGTTTGCAAAGATATGGTGAATAGCCCTTAATTGGAGGAAAATAATATATGGTTAATTAATGGTAATTAGGGTAGATAATAATTTACCTTCCAAGACTAATTATCTCTCCAAAGAGGAATGTGGTTGCAGCAATTGTAAATATCAGAATCAATGGAGATGTCATGGCGAGGTAGACAGGACCCTTCTTTTCAATGACCCATGTTTGCAAGTAAAATGCAATACCAGTCACCACTATTCCCTGTCAAGAATATGAGGAAAAGGATTAAAAATTGGTTCAAAATTTTCCCGCCCCTCCCTATGTGTGTGATCTGTGGGGTTTTTGTGAAGTCCAATTCTGTAATGGTAGCAGGGCTCTGAGGAAAAAGCCAAAGTGAATAATTGCCACACCCCACTCATTTATAGTCAAAGTCAAATAATTCAACTGGCCAAAGCTCAAGCCAAATAAGGACTTAAGTTGGATAAATATTTTCATGAGATCTAATTTGTAATTGCTAATACTTAAAGGGCTAGAAATGATATAAAAAATAATCTTGGAATTTAGTTTCTAATATGATAAATGAGATGACTAAATGTTATATTATATGGAAGTTGAATATTTGACATGCAATTACACTATACTAATCTATTAAAATAAATGAGAAGGATGCTGAGTTGTTAGATAACAGTAGACAGAAATGATGCAGGAGGGTCCGAGTCAGATGTTGAGTTGTTAGATAACACGTTAATGGCTCTAAGGTATCACGAGTTGGCAAATCGGGGCAAGGATGGCAAGTGATCGCGTAACTTTGACAATTGAGTCGTGTTTTTGTAATTTGGTCATAACTTTGGCTACAGTTATCAGAATCGCGATTATGACCACAATCCGGAAAGCTCGTTTCAGTGTGCACGTCGTGGCCACTCAGCTATTTTTAGTTAATTTTTGCTATTTTTGGTAATATTTCGATTGCATGCTAGGAGATGATTTTTAACCCGATTTGGGCTAGATTTTTTTGCAGAATACTTATTTTATTCTATATTTCCGTTTGGCGTGATTTTTGAAATTTTGCCATTTTTGGTAAAATTCTGATTTTCGCTATAAAGTCCGGCTTGTGGACTTATTTTGATTATTGCGTGATATAATAAAATTCTGTAAACTTCAGAGACGGTTCTCTGTGTTTTTTGGCGTTAGTCTTGTGTTCTTCCCTGTGAATTTGCTAGTAGAACTAGCTTGCAGAATAATCACTTTTCTGCCCAGGGTCAAGAAATATATATTTTATGCGTGAAAGAAGAGAAATTGTAAAAGCAAGCAAACCCTAGTTCAGTATCCTTGATTGCATTGAAACCCCGCCAAATATGGGTTTTCCAAAACCCTCAACCGATTTCTTTCCGAAGCTCAAATTAACGATAATGATTGGGAGGCAAGAGCACTTAATTTCCAGACACACCATAAGGTTACTGAATCAAATGCAAAGTCAAAAGAAAAACAAAATGACAGCCAATACTATTGTTCAAAGTGAACATGAATTATTAGCCTCGAAACAAGTTACTGATGGTGCAGCTCGTGAAATACCGGTGGATGAATACACTAGGAAACAGAAGGAGAAGAAGAAGAACAAGGGCAGGGGCGAAGGACTGCCTGTGTCTTTTTAATTAATTTGAGCAACAGTTTTGTATTTGTATGGGAAATTAAAAGAAACCTGTTATAATTTTTTCTAATAATTCTATGGAAGTTGTATGCGAGAGAGAGAAGACAGAACCTTTAAAAATCAATTTAATTTTTGTTTTAAAATATTCTAATCTTAGCATATCTTCTCTGATAACAATTGTTATAATTATTCAATACAATCATGCCAAGAAGAAGATTTACATTTATTAATTGATAGTTCGAAATTCATACATGTAGAAAATATTGTTATGCATGAATATTACCAACTAAATCTTCATTTTCTTACTCCTCACAAATAATCAGCCGTCAATGGGACAAGCCAAAAACAATATGGAGAGAAGAGGAGAGGAGATCTAACTATTATATAGGAAATCATAAAGTCGGCCCATTTCCGACTCAAACCCTAATTAGGGTTTACATAATTTCGACCCACATACTTAAAATTACCACGTCATAATAATAAAGTCTGTAAGATATACAACGGTCCAAGTGATCACTAACATATTGGGTCTAATCATAGTATCATTGCAAACCATACATCTAGCCCGTAAAATTCACAATCAAATGGAAGCTCACATAATAGAATTATTCTAACAACTATAGATTTACTTAGTTCATTTTCTCCCCCTGTTTGGCTTGTATATTGCAAATTAATGTAACAGTCTCTTGTTTTTAATGAAATTTAGATCCTTCTTGTGGGATTATGTACCAGTCAAATTCTTACTACTGATCTCTCGTTAAAAAAAAAAATGAAATAAATAGTATTTTACTTACACAGTAGGCTATTGATACGAGTTTTATATCCCATCCGAGTTTCCATTCATTCGGATCTCTTACCAAAGCAACAGCAACAAAGAATGATTGTATGGTGCTCAAAAAGCACTGTAGGGCTATTAAGAGGAATTTTGAAGGGTAACTTTTAAGTACTCGGCCCTACAATTCCATGATAAAAAAGAACATAAATATTGAGCTCAAAAGAGAAATTAAGCATCCTAAAAACATATAAATTATTCAAGTTTTTCAGCATACTTTGAAACCAGTGAAAGAAATAATTCAACCAAGATAATGAGAGGACTGGATATTTAGAATGGTTTTAAGTAGAGCTTGACATGGTCCGTGTTTCAGGTATTCAATAAGTGGAACCGTCGGATCCAAATTTATTTATGGAACTGTTCAGTTTGATTCGGTTATGTTCGGTTCGATACCATTTGATTCCCGATTTCAGTACAATAGTTAAATTTTTTTTTAATATTTACAACGATGTTACATAAATTCAACTAATGACACATTCAATTTTAACTCTTACAAAATAGCGTAGTCTAATCCCGTTATATCTTTTGCGTCTCTTTTTATTGAGTTCTTCATAGATTTGACTTTAAAATCACAGTAAAAGAATAATAGCGAGCTCACAATAATAAAGAAAGATGCGGCCAAGCTTCCAACATAAACATGTTAGAGGCTTCAACTTTAGTCGAAGACCATACCTGTAATACAAGCCAAAACGCCCAAGTTATGTTGGAAAGCAGCATAAGTGAGACGCCCTTAATCCATGTTTGGGTAGAAGGAATTGCATGGCCTTCAAGTTGGTGGTGGTGGCTTTTAATTAGGTGATGATGTAACAAAAGTTTAAAGAAAGGGCCCCTGTACAAGGCAATGGTTGCTGCTCCTGCCAAAAACAGTGCTACTCCTGAGACTTTCATAATTCCTGGGCTGGTCCTCAGCTTCACTTTTTCCATCCTGTTAATTAATATCCAGTTTTTTTTAAATAAAAAATCAAGCTATGGTAAATTAGCAATAAAATATAATTAGTTAGTTAACAACTTAGGGTCCGTTTGATATGCAAATGTTGAAAGGAATTTCAATTCCTTGTTAATTGGAAAATAAAAACCCATCAAAACCCATAGGAATTCGTTTTCCATGAAAGCGAAGAAAATGCAGCTTAAAGTGGTTGTACTTTAGAATTCGATTTTCATTTTCACATTGCAATCAAACAGTCAAGTGGAATTCATTTTCCTCGAATGTGACATTTTCCATGGAATTCGTTGCAATCAAACCAGGCCTCATTATAAGGACATAAAACTCCCCTATTATTTATTGTAAATAACTAAAATAAACTAACTAAAGGGTTATATTGAACGCAAAATGAGAACATGAGACGGGTGGGAATCTGTGAAATAAAAAACATACATTAAGAAGGTTTGGTGGGTACCTAGGAACTGTTCGAGGAGTTTAAGGAAATATTTTAGACTTTGCTACTGGTTCATCAAGATGTACACAAGGGGTTACACCTCTCTCACATGAGGTGTGTGATCCACTTTAATAAAAAAAATATTATTCAAGTAGGCCTCACCCCTATGTGAGGGGGGTGTGATCTCTTGTGTACATCTTTTGATGTACAAGTGGATAATTCCACGCATGTAAATGAGAGGATTTCATAGGATATAGTGTTGAACATGCTAAGGAAAATACTTTGAATCTACCTATGATTACCAAATCAGCAGAGATTAAGGAAAATAATACTAATAATGCGGCCAACTGTGTTGAAGATTTGAGTTTATTACGACAATGAATACTGAAGTTCTGAGTGACGTTAATGATTATTGAAATTATTTTCTTATAATATTAATTATTCAAGTTTCGAAATGTCATACTAATAATCCCTCAGTTAAAAATTCAGTGTTAAATCATATATGGATCGTCAAGTATCAATATGTTATCAAATGACATTATTTATTACTTTAACTTAGCAAAATTGGAGAATTAGGAAATGAGGATTAAACATATTCATCGAGCTTATCGCGCCATCTAAATTAGAGTTCTAGCACGGTGGTGTTCGATAACATTATTCCTATCCAAAACATTGAAATATAGTTGAAATTAATGTTTGATTTTAACCGAATTAACATTGTAAATATGAAAATTTGACTGGGACTTTTCCTGATTTTGTAAAATTTAAATAGAAAAAATGAATAGAAGTTATTTCGACACTATTGTGGAGTGGATTCCATGAAAAAGAACCAATCGTATATTTGCAAATAATTTCTTATTTTACAATTAATCTCTCATTTTAGAGAACAAATTAGCATATCGTGATTGAAAATGAGTTAGTTGAATACAATATCAAAGTGAATAAAATATCTAAATTCAAGTCTCGTTATCATTAATTTATGAAAATTGTGAATATATATACATTGAACATGCTCGTAAGTGAAACACAATTATATTAATAATTTATCTTCTATCTGATAACTTAAATTTTTTTATCAAATTAATTGAACAAATGAATGCATTTCTATCTTTACATACCAGTCAAATCTATCTTTCTTTAACTATTAGGAGAAAGGTCCAGATTAGGAATGACAATGAGTCGAGTCGAGTTGAGTCGAGCCGAAATTCAAAACTCGGGCTCGGCTCGAACAAAATGGATTCGGGTTTTTTTTTTTTGCCCGAGCCGAGCCCCGAGCTTGTTCAATGCAAAATGAGAGGGTTGGAAATTATGAACATAAATAATGATGACCAAACAGGGGTAATAAAACAGCTACACACTTTATGGCTAATTCTTTATTGAAAAAATATTTTAACAATTAATTTCAGTGTATTTTATACCTGCAGTCAGTCCAAATTTCAAAATATTTTTCTTAATCATAAGATTCTCCCAGATTTTTTTTTTAAATAACTACCACATGACACTTCGTGGTTAATTCTTTATTAAACAAATATTTTATAAATAAATTCTTCAATGTACCATCAGCCCAAATTTCTAAGTATCTTACTCATAAGATTCTCCCAGTTTTCCAGAATTATATTATGATTTATATCATTATATTAAGAGCTTTATATCATTGAGATGAAAAGAAACTTTATATCATTACCCAATTATAAAACGATCATACAAATTAATTAAGAAACTACAATAAAAGAGGGGAGTAAATGATTGATCTTAAAAAAAAAAAAAATTAAAGGGAAAATTAGGATGTAAAGTATGGAAAAGTTTTGAATACATTTCATTTTTATTATATTGGTCAATCGTGATCGAATTCTTGAAATGAAATAAAAGAAAGTTGGGTCGAATAAGTAAATAGATAGTCCCTAATCTTGATTACCTGAATAAAACTGCAAGGAAGAAAGTAATAGCCGGAAGTGTATTGGATGTCGCAGCAGCCAAAGAAGGTGTTGTGTATTTCAAAGCCACACCAAAAATATCCAAGCTCATAGTTATCCTGCAGTTAAACCAACCAAAAATATCAAAGCTTCATCGAATGTTCAATATGCTCGACTAAATAGTATTGAATAAAAGCTTGTGTTGCCGACAAGATTATTGAAAACTTGACGTACCCACAAAGCGAGAGCATGAAAATCTTGATGAAAATGATGAATGACAGTGGTGGAGCAGTTTTCCTCGAATCCCAAAACAAGAAATGTCAATTCTTATAAGTTGTAAGAATAGATCTAGCAGAGAAATATACCCCCTCAAGGATTGAAATGAGGTGGTTCAATAGCTTAATGTAGAAGGCAAAGCTTTATTAGTATCTGCTACGTATTTATAATTATTATGCATGTACCAATGGATCTAGTCTAAACATGAAGAAGCTCTTTGAAAAAACAATTAATAAAGAAGCTAGTACCAATGGAAAAACATGGCAGTGGGGGCTAAGAAAACTGTTGCAGCAGCTTGTCTGTAGAAGACGAAAACGTAAGTGTTCATGCCAACATCAAAAGCAACCTTGGAAAGCAATAAATAGCCAGCATAAAGGGATTGTACGACCAAAACTACAAGAAATGGTTTGTTTATCTCCATTTACGTACACTGGGAAAGGGTAGAAAGTTAGTCAGAAAGTGATTGTGAAAGAAGGGAAATTGGGTTGGAGATCTGATATTTAATTTTCTGTTCAAAATACAATGGAAAGATTGGTATAATACGGGGCGGATCCGGGCCCAGGCTGGCATGGGATAGAGCCCGTGCTAGCCCCAGACCAAATCCACTTGCTGCCTTTTATTAAAACTAGTGGTGGATCGTGCGTTGCACTTGTTGGAAAGCAGCATAAGTGAGACACCCTTAATCCATGTTTGGGAAGAAGGAATTTCATGGCCTTCAAGTTGTTGGTGGTGGCTTTTAATTAGGTGATGATGTAACAAAAGCTTAAAGAAAGGGCCCCTGTACAAGGCAATGGTTGCTGCTCCGGCCAAACACAGTGCTACTCCTGACACTTTCATAATTCCTGGGCTGGTCCTCAGCTTCACTTTTTCCATCCTGTTAATTTATATCCAGTTTTCTAAAAATCAAGCTATGGATAATTAATAATAGAAATATATTTAATTAATTAAAACTTATTGTAAAAAGGCATAAAAGCCTCCAATTATTTCTTGTAAATATTAAGGCTTTAAAATAATTAAAATCTTGTCTATTGTATTATTGAATATTGCCCTAATCTGATTATTTTTCTTCCATCATAAAATGAGAGGGTTGCATAGTAAACAGAGAAACTAACTAAAATCTTATATAATTACTACCAATTTATGAAATGATTTAGAACAATATATAAAAAAAGGCCAAGAGAAATTGAAAAGACAAAAGAAATTGGATCGAATGAATAAATGGATGGGACTAATCTTGATTACCTGAATAAAACTGCAAGGGAGAATGTAATAACTGGAAGTGTGTTGGATGTCGCAGCAGCCAAAGATGCAGTTGTATATGTCAAGGCAACACCAAAAATATCCAAGCTCGTAGTTATCCTGCAATTAAACCAACCAAAATCTTCATAATTAACTGAATAAGCTTTATGCCTTTATAGGAGTGTTGGAAAAGCTCGTATGAAAGTATTGAATAAAATCTAGTATGTCGCCCAGTACACAAGATTATAGAAAATTAACGTACCCGCAAAGGGAGAGCAAGAAAATCCTGACGAAAATGGTGAATGACAATGGTGGAGCAGTTCTCCTACAACCCGAAAACAAGAAATTCCAATGCATATATATAAGTTCCAGAGTTGTAAAAATAAACTTCAGTAGAGAAATATACATCGAGCCACCTCATCCAAACACTAAAACATTTAGATGGGGTAGTTCAACATAGTATAAGATCCTCATTTCAAGTCTCTCTGATACCCCTTTATAAAGATGGTACATGTACCTGCAAGGCCTTCAACGAAAATTGAATCTGGCCTACACATGAATTACGTGTTGAAAACATAATTTAAATAAAAAAAGTGGTACCATTGGAAAAACATAGCAATCGGGGCTAAAAAAACAGTTGCAGCAGCTTGTCTGTAGAAGACAAAAACATAAGTGTTCATGCCAACACTAAAGGCAACTTTTGTAAGCAGGAAATAGCCAGCATAAACGGACCGTATGATCAAAACTACAAATAATGGTTTGTTTATCTCCATCTCATTCGGGGACAGTGGACAATTAATTAAAGCAGCGAGTAGTGTTGCGAGAATGATTGCAGAATAGGGAAATGGGTTTGAGGTCTGATATTAGATTTTGGGTTCAAAATTCAGTGGAAAGATTGGGTATAAATACAAGTTCCAAAGGAAAAGTATGAACTGTGAATAGAAGGCTACATGACTTAATAGAGACGTGTGTAGGGGGATGATATAGGTGTGAGGAGATTGGGTCTACAAAAAAGATCAAAAGACAAGTAGATATATGCTTTACTTAAAGTTTGATAAATTTAAGTTGTATTTTTGTTTTAATTATATTTTATTTGTGATTACTAAGAAAAGTGATTTGTGGAATTTTACAAGATCAAGGATTGAGATTACAATAATGGGATTTGTTAATTACCTTAGTAAAGGTTGATCGCGTATATTATGAGAATGTCGAGGAAAGAAAGCAAGATCAAGAATGGTTTACTTAAAGAAGATCGCGTATATTAAAGAAGATTCTTATGACACTATTGGAAAATGTTTACTTAAAAAAGGTTCTTATGACACTATTAGAGGTGTACAATGAAATGAATGGTTGAGCCAAGACGGACCAACTTTCGTATTAGCTTTTTAAAATTTAAAATTTTAGTTAATTAAAAAAAAAAAAGCCATAAACTACCATTTTCTTGCAGACTGCTCTACCCAATTGTATCCATCTTGACTTATTGTTATACACAAAATATCTTGCTGCAGCTACAGTAACCTAATTTTAGCAATTTGAACAAATAGTTTGCCCTGGAACTACGTGAGTATTCACTATTCAGAATAGTCAACTGCCATTTTTTTTAAACCAATATTTGCATTCCATTAAAATCTTCTTTCACACCGAGATACATGTCTGTAGTAATTAGATTGCTTCATTCTAACAAAGACGTGTACATAAATGTTTCAGGATCATGCATAAACAGAATGAACCAAATAAGAGAATACAAAATATAAAATCTCAACATTCCATTGTCAAGTGGATTTGATGTCCTGTATTCATTACGTGCAGGTGTGTGTTGTGTTGTGTTAGCTCCCTTTATAGATTAGATGGCTTATAGATATATAGGTAGAATTTTTGCTGCGTATTGTACTTTTTAACATATTATCCAAATGACTTCGCTGTGTTGTGCAATTTATTAGAATTACACTTCTTTTCAAGAAAGAAAATGTCACCCTTGTTGACAGATACTCATATTTTTTTATTTAAGTACTTTTTGTTGCTACTTATTTGAGGATGCCTTTTGACGTTTTCTTAGTAACAAAGGAGGAGCCTTCTTATGATCTTGATGAAACTACTGAATTTGTTTTAGTTTCACTTGCTTGGTTTAAAAAATCTAGTGAACTTCTTGTTCCAGAAGTGTAGAAGCAGTTCAAAATTCTCATGATCTTCAATTTTAATGTGAATATCTAATTTTCTTGCTACAACTTAGATTTTATGATATTTATAGCATATATGTGCCCCTTTCGTCCTTCACTGAAAGAAGGGTATTTCATTTGCAGAAGACAAAGTGTCGCCAATAGTTGGACTTTATCTATTCTTGTAATTTAGATTTATTTTATGTTGTTTTGAACTCGAAATTAAGGAGTTCGGTGAATATGCTTGGAACATATATAAATAATCACATAATAAATTACACAACAAAAATATATCGTTGCACAAATGATGATGCAAAAAACTCCGTGTGTTCTGAAAAAAATGTAACTACAAACATAACTTGTACATAATAAATTTTTCAATAAATATAGAATATATTAAAATATATTGTGCAATAAATCTACTCAATGTAAAATAAATTATACACAACAAACATGACTTGTTATAAAATGTATATTACTACAAGCATTTTTTTTTTAGCAAAATGGAATAGGTAATAAATGGTATACCTTTAAAATAGTATTTACAACAAATATATTTCCTCGGAAAAACATTTTTTGAATAATCGTGGCTAAAAATTGACTTGTAGTCTTTTTAATTTTGCACAACATATATACTTTGAGATGATGATATGATACAAATATCTTGTTGTTCTTTTATAGTTTCTGCGTCAAATAAATAATGTTACGAATTTTTTTATATGATGAATGATTGAAAGTTGTTGCACAATACATTCTCTAACTTATATAGCGCGACGATGCTTGCCATAAATATCTTGTTGTCACTAAATTATTTATGTAACAAAATCTCTATTTAAACAACAATTTTTTTTTTTTTTTGCAACGAAATCGTTACTTTTTTGTATACGTCTTAAGACCACAGGATAAAATTTTGGTTCATAATTTATATTCTATTGACATGCATATTACCAAATAGACGGGCTTACCAAATATTATCAATAATAACACGTATATGTCATAGGCGTGACATGCAGGTGGATGCACTTCTCAGTGGCCACCGCGTGAGGTCATCAGCAGCACGTGGAGCGGCGGCGAGTAGAACCACGCATAGAGAGTGTTGGCAGCACGTGTAGGCTCGTGGGAGTGAATTCGATGACGGTTTCTTCTAACAATTTGTTCCCGACATTTTTATTGACATTTTGGTGTTGTTAGTTTTCTATTTCAGGTTATACAGCGAATTCTGAACGATTGTGTATTTCGAGATTCGAGATTCGATCGTGGTTGATTGATTCCTGCGATTGTTGGAGACTTTAGGACGAACAATGGTGATCCTAAAGTGATAAATTCGTATCTCTCGGTATTTATGGACTCAACTTGGTCTGCTATAGTAAATTGGTTTATCCAAATTTAAATTTCAGTATTAGCCTGCCATCATGTGGGGTGACATTAGGATTGAGATTACCGTGTGGGATAACATTGCTTATGCTAAAAATTTAGGAATTATTTACTCTATTTGAAGTGTTGATTTTCATCGTAAGTTGGTAATTGCTTTTGTCTTTTAACTGTTGTTTAGTCACTATGTGAGACTGCAATGAGTGAAAATTTTGAATTTTTTGTTGATATTCCTTCGTGTTCCTTTGATTATTCTGTTAGAACACCTAGACTTAACCCGTTTGAACATTCTCTTGATCTAAGATCGAGAATCTAGAACGGTGTATATTGTTGCCATATGATTACTTTGTGTAACCTATTTTTGCATTTTGGTTGTTCTGTTTTTGAAAATGTCTTTACATTTCGAAATTGAAATTTTTAATGTGAAAGAGGATTTTTCAATTTAGCAACAAAAGATGAAGGAGATTTTGATTCAACAAAGAGTTTCAAGAGTCATAGATAGAAAATTTCCTACAAATTTAATAGAAGCACAAAAAGAATAATATGATGAACTTGCTTACACTTGAATTATTTTATACCCTATCAACACTTTTTTGAGAAAAGTTGAAAAACTTGATTCTACAAAAGAATTTTGAAAAAAGTTGTAGGATTTATATTTGCTTAATTCTACTCCTAATAAGTTGTACTTACTTGAAAAAAATTTCAGTTTTAAAATGAACCATTCAAAGGATCTTAATGACAATCTAGATATTTTCAAAAAAACTTGTTCAAGATATCGTTAACTGTGAAGAAAAGATGTCTTATACGTATAAGGTCATTATTTTGTTGAATTCTATACCTGATTCATCTAGGGAGATTAAGAATGCAATTAAGTATTGTATGGACACATTAACATCCGAAATTATCATAGATTCCCTTAGGAATAAGGAGATGGAGATTAAGGCTGAAAAATATGATAAGAGGAGTGGTGAGTTACATATGATGTGGAGTAGAATGAAGTTTAAACAGATAAATTTGGGTGGAGCTCAAGACAGTAGTGATTCGAGTAATGAAGGTAGGAAAAGAAGGGCAAGAGATGGAACAAGTCCGGTGGTAAGAAGTGTTACAAATGTGGTAAGTCCCAAGAAAAATGATAAGCATGAGGGTAAGATGAGAGACAATACGAATGTGATTATAGGTCGAGTGATGACCTTAGTGAGTTTTATTGAGAGTAAACCCAATTACTGCATGTGCATCAGTGTGTAATACTATTTGCATGTATATAATTGCTTAATTATGTTGCATGGATATATGTGTATTTCAATGTGATTGATATATACATTTGCATGAATTTGAGAGTAATTTAATTACTTGGTGTAATTGTTTGCATGCATAGTGAGTTAAGATGCATTAGAAATGTGTTGTATGTCTATTGGTGAGATGAAGTATAGATGTCTAAGGGTATATTGGTGGTTTGTACCTGGGATGTTGAGTGTGACATTTGGATCACAAGTGGAGAGGTGATTAAATATTGGAATCCTTTATCTGTGAAGAGACCCTAATCAAGTAGAGAGATATACTTCTATCACTTCTGTTAGGTGGAGACCCATTATCCATTTAGATTGGGAAAAGTGATATAGTGATGTATTATTATCCCAAGGACTTAGGATCTATAGAGGTTTTCGAGTTAGACATGAGTTGAGTGATCAGTCTAGTGATCTTGGTCGATGATGAGGTGAGATATGTGTTCTCGAAATGTGAGCAACACAGAATGGTATAGGATAAGTGTGGTGAGATCTTTTCGTAGGGTCATCATGCATTTGTTGCATACGTATTGGACGCTTGATTGATTAACTTGGTGTTAATCTGTTGTTCTGTGTCAATATTTTTTTTTAAAAGATCTGTGTTATCCTATATGATATCTCTATTGCATATTTAATTGCTCTTGATTGATTACTGTGATTATCTGCTTCTATTTGGGTATTTGTTTGTGACCTTAGCCTTGGTGAGCACATGAAGCAGGTATGGTATGTGTTTCGGGTCCGAAACATGAGGTAAGATCTGCGATTCCAATTTTATTAGTTGCCTTGATTATGCAAGCGTTAATTTTGTATTTTGATTGCTTGTAGATTGGGGTATCAAGGTAGAGATTTGTTGGGTTTTGAAACCCAATGAATTATGGGCGATGATGTATACGTTGAATTAAATTGTTACCAATAACCAAGTCTAAAGACTCAGGCCGAAAATAACGTGGGTTGTTGGAAGTA